TTTGTGTTGGTTGTTCACAATTTGTAAAAGATACCACACAAAGATAAATGCTGTCTGGGTTGTAAAGAACCTTAACATGCATGCGTTGCTACCACATTCCACATTCTAACAGGATCAAAAAAAGAAAACAGATGAAAGAAATAAAAAGAGAAGAAGGCAAAAACCTGGGCAAAAAGGGAATCAAGCACGAGTTAGAAAGAAAAGACAGACAGACAGACAGATAAAACTCCTGGAAAAGGGGGAGGGAGATGTCATGAAGACGTAAGCGGGTGAACGCACAAGCTGGATGAAACGTAATAAGGAGAAGGGAAAAGGGGGAATAAAAGGTAAGGGATATCTTTGTTACCAGGAAGGGAGAAAGATGTGATGGAACTTTTCCCACTTCCAACCTCAAACCTTTGCCAGCTACAACCGAAACTTGGAGGGGAAAAAGGAAAAAAAAATCCATAACCGTATATCAAGGCTGGATGGGTAGAATGGCATAAACGCCGGGCAGAAGGGAGGGAAAGGGTCGTCCAGACAAAAAAAAAAAAAAAAAAAAAGGCAAAACAAAAAGGGAACATAGAAACAAGAGGAAGAGTATTCGTTAAGACATGCCAAGCCGAGGAAACCAGAATCAAAAACTTTCCTCCACAATTAGAAAACCGTTTCAAGCATTATTTAAGACTTAGTCTCTTCCGCGGGCTTGCCAGCCTCTGGCTGAGCAGCCTCACCGGTGGGGGCATCATTCTTGTTCTTGACATATTCATCGTAGACAGTAAGAGCTTCGTCAACCTTGGCTCGGAGAGCAACGTCATCATCGACACTGGTCGAGTAAGTTAGCTTTGATTTTTATCAGGTATAGATGGGGAAGGGTGTGTTCTTACAGGCCGATCAACTCTGAGTTGTCCATTTCCAAAAGCATACCAGTGATTTTTCCGGCAAGCTCAGGCTGTTGAGCAAGAATCTTGGGGTAGATGGCTTCACCGAGCATCTGTTTCTGCTGGGGTTCGGGAGCAGCATTGAAAACTGCGAGGTTGATTGAGCCGGAGCCGGCTGCTTCATCGCGTGGTATACCCCCTTGTCCAGGAGCACCTTGACCGCGGCCACCAGGGCCAGCCCGGCCACCCTGTTGCATGGGCATGCCACGTCCCTGAGCGAAGCCTGGGGCACCAGGTCCACCACGCATTTGTGGGGCATTACCGGCAGCCGGTGGCATACCTTGCATTGGACCCTGGCCACGACCACCTCCACGGCCGAACGACTGGACCTGGCCGCCTATCTGTGGGTAATTTAGGCCGTTTGGAATTCCAGCACCCTGCATTGCGCCCATTGGGATACCTTGGCTACCCATGCCGAAGTTAGGAGGAAGCGGCTGGTTAGGGTTCATGCCACGGCCGCCCTGCTGTCCAGGGAACTGGGGGAACTGGCCAGGACGACCACCAGGCATTCCTGGCATAACCATACCAGCTTGACCAGCAAACTGCATTCCACGCTGAGCACCGGGGAGGAAACCTTGCTGGCCAGGAGCGCCATAGAAGACGGCAGGCTGCATGAACTATCTTTGGTATTAGAAAGAGAATCGAATATGTGTATATATATACGGGGAGCACTCACGGGTTGGGCCATTCCGGCGGCGGCAGCAACCTGCTGTTGGCGGATGGTGTTTCTAGCTTGGATACTAGCCTCGAGCTGGTAGATGTTAGTAAATTGACTTCTTATTAAATGTATTACCTTGGTACTTACCTGGCTCTTGCGAACATCCTTGCGTTGGGCCAAAGCAACGTAGAGTGGCTTTCCGTGGACCATGCGTTGGTTCATCTCGGTAACAGCCTTCGAGGCTTCATCTGGGTTGCTGAAGCAAACGAAACCAAAACCTTTACTCTTTCCGAGATGTTTCTTTTCAGGCTTGGTACTCTCGGTCTTTCCCTCAGTCTTCTCTTCGGATTTCGACTTGTCCTCAGATTCAGACTTAGACTCTCCCTTTTCCTCGGACTTATCACCGCCCTCCTTCTTCGCCTTCTCCTTATCAGCTTCCTTGTCCTTTTCGGTTTCGGCGGGAACGTCGACAATGGCTTCGCGCATGACCTTGGCGGACGTGATGTTTCCGTAGCTGCTAAAGAGCTCACGGAGCTTCTCATCATCGATATCGTCGGACAAGTTCTTGATGTAAAGGTTAACACCCTGGTACTTGGAAGCCTTCTCGATGCGAGCAGCTTCATACTGCTTTCGCAACTCCTCTTCACGTTCATGCTTCTTCTGGGCACGGCCGACGTAGAGCTTCTGACCCTTGAGCTCGTACTCGTTCAAGGCCTCGACAGCGGCGGAGGCGGCCTCATGGTCAGAGAAGTTGACGAATCCAAACCCGCGGCTCTTGCCGGTCTCATTATCACGGCTGAGGGTAGCAGAGGTGATTTCCCCGTACTTCTCAAAGAGACCACGGAATTCCTCATCGGTGACATCCTGCTCAACGTTCTTGACGTAGATGTTGGTGAAGTTGGCCTTCATCTCCTCGAACTTGCTCTGGCGATCCTTCTTGGCAATGTGGTGTCCAACAAAGACCTTCTTCTCGTTCAACAACATACCATTGACGTGTTTGATGGCATTGGTGGCGGCCTCAGCAGTTTCATAGTGGACGAATCCGTATCCTTTGGAGTTACCGTACTCATCCTGGGCAACCTTGCAAGAAAGAATGTTTCCAAAAGCAGCAAACGTGTCGTGAAGAGCCTTGTTGTCAATGGCAGTATCAAGGTTCTTGATAAAGACATTGCCCTGACCGGTCTTGCGGAGGGCAGGGTCACGCTGAGACCACATGATACGGCATGGACGACCCTTGATCAGGGTGTAGTTGAGGTCCTCAAGGGCACGTTCTCCATCAGCGGTGTTGTTGTAGTTCACGTAGGCATAGCCAAGAGAGCGTCTGGTAACAGCATCACGGCACACACGGATCGACGCGACCTGTCCGATGGAGGAGAAGAGCTCGTAGAGCATAGCCTCGGTGACGGAAGGGTCCAGCTCTCCGACGTACAACGAGGCAGAGTGAGGCTGTGAGGTCGCAGGAGCCGTAGTGCCAGAGGGCTCTCCGGCAGTTTCAGGAGCGGCCTCAGTGCTGGGAGCTGCGGCTGCAGAAGTGCCGTTGGCAGGGGCCTCGGTGGGCGCCTCAAGCTGGTCCGCAGGGACGTTGGTTGCGGTCTCTGGAGCAGACATATTTTCTAATGTTTTTCCGTGTTTTTTTGTGATTTTTTGGTTTGAATTCTTGGTCGCTTGGAAATCTTTTCGTATTGTCAATCAAATGGAAGAAGTTAGCAAAGCCAGATCAAGAAGCTTGAAAGAGAAAAAGAGGGGCACCGCGACGAATTCTCTTCAAAGGATACAGGGTGTGATCGAGCAGAAAAGGCAGAGCTGACGCGAGGCAGAGCGTCCTGCAGGCGAAACGGAAGGCGAGATGAGAGAAAGGTGAAGGGAGAGAGAGCAGTAGGAGAAGTGAAAGTAGCTGGGGTAAGTGTGCGGTGTGCGGGTTTTTGGACCACCACAAACAACCCACAACCACCGCCAACCGCCAGCGCCTCTCCTTTTCCCTTCTTCTCGAACGGCACTCGTTTGCAATGTCGAGGCAGCAGTAGGCGCAGGTAGACGTGGAGTCCGATGGTTTCTCGTGTGCTGGCAAAAACGGACGACGGGCTCGACGTGGGATGGCGAAGACGGGAGAAGGACTCACCAGGCGAACCTCGAAGAGGTGATGCTTGATATTTTTCAGGCTTTACGAGTAGTTTTCTGGTAGGGGAAGGGGGCAAAGGAAAGGAAACACTCGAAAGTGTTTCTAACGGACGGATAGATCACAGCCTGAGGAAGTACAAGTAGCGATGTTGGTGGTTGGAGGTTGGTTGACTTTTTTTTTTTTTGATATCTTTTTGATGTGCGAAAGAAGAAGAAGAGGAAGAAAAAAGTTTAAAAAAAAAATCATCAAAAATTTTTCTTTTTCTTTTTCTTTTCTTTTTTTTTTTTTTTCCTTTCCTGGCGCGAATAAGAGCTTTCAATGACTAAAATATGACTAATCAACAGAAATGATGAGTCAGTGATGAATAATGAATAATCCTAGATGACTAACAAATGACTAAGCAACTTATATATGAAAACGGAAGAAAGAAGAAAGACGGGAAGAAAGAAAGGAGAAGAAGAAGAAGAAGCAAAAAGGGGCGAAAGCAGAGAGATCAGTTGATAGTCGCTGCTCATGGCTTGAGGAGGTGGGCGGTGCGGGAAGTGCTTTCTGGCTTCATCTATTATTGACTGATGCTACAGCAATGAGACGGAGTAACCCCTGGCCATATAGATTGGTTAGGTAAGGGGCGTTTTGTCTCTCGGGCATACTATGGAGTACGACTATGATTGGTAATGGAGAAGACGAAGCATAAGGTCTATACACGGTGATGCCGACTACTAAATACATCTCCCCCCAGACGTCAACACCCCAGGCTCCAGTAAATGCAGTCCCAGGTCCGCTGCCAGTGACATCATGGCAGGAGGACACCGAGGATGATAGAGTATTCTCAAAATAATTAACTAAGGTCAAAGCCGGCGCCAGAGTTCACTGCATACATCAGCTTCTCTCGGAGTGTATTTGCACTGGTATACCGGGGTAGTTTCAGCAGATTGGCACAGGTACTCGCACTGGGCAGTCGTTCTTCATCAGAACTCGAGTCGCGAATGCTAAACCGGGGGTTCAAATGGCTGAAGCCCAAGAGCGGAGCCCGCGGCGTTGAGGTCACAAACTTGAGCACCTTCTGCCTGTCTTTGTTTGGCATTGCTTCGAGGACTTCCCAGAAGAGCTTGATTGTTGGGTGGTCCTGTTGGTCATCGCCCAGGACATAGATGCCGCTGTACACCGTGTTGCGGCGGAGGTCGTTGACGTCAATCTCGATTGCGTCTCCGCCGACAAGGCGCTGTAGCTCGCCTTGGTTGAACATAGATAGCCATGACGGCTGGATGATTTGACCTAGACCCTGGAGGAAGGCATTCGTTTGGAGGTAGGGTTGCAGTTGCAGTCGATGGCGTGCAATGTACGATATGTATACCAGTCTGTTCTGGTTAGTGACGGGGATGTTGGAACCCCCCGGTTTTAGTTCGCGGGTAATGGTTTGCGTCTTCTCTTTGCCTTTATCATCTGGCACTGACACTGTGTCCGTTACTGTGAAATTCAGAGCAAAGTCTTCCACGTTCCCAGGATAGTTCTTGAGTTGTAGCTATTGCAAGGTTAGCTAATAGGCCATCACCATAAAGGATGAAACTCACCAATCCTTGGTACAAGCTCTTATCGAGATCCTGGACGTCGTTTAGATTTGCTCGATAGGCAGACTCCCTCGATGCTGAGCCAGTGCCTCCAGTTAGAGCCCATTTCAGCAGAAAGAAGTTGGCAAAACTGACATCCACCAGGATGCCCTCGTAAAGGCATTTCCCTATAATACGCCCCAAGAACTCATACCGCTTCAACAATTCTCGGATATGCTCGTTCCACTCCGGACTCCGTTCAATAATCCCGGCTTCACGCAGCTGTGCCTTTTGTTGTTCAACAGAGGTTGGGTTTGGATAGAGGAGATGCTCATCGTTCTCTGTAAACATGCTCAGCGTTCCAGAAGGATTGAACGCATCGTTTATAATGCTTGTAAGAAACTCCTTGGTGACACCACCACCATCGATACCAGCTTCCACAGTGTCAAACTGGTCAATAAACGTAATCTGAATAGGCTCCTTGAATGCCTCCCCGAGTGGGTAAAATTGCTCAAAGGCATCTTCAAAAAGGTTTTCCCTCCGTATGTCCGCATGGTGTTTACTTAGGATATCTCGTGCCATGGCGATTCCTTCTTCTGTAATACCCGAGGCACCCTGAGCAATAGATAGTCTCCACGCGTCTGGGTCCACATACCCTTTCCTTCTTCGCACTTGATCTCGGTATATGAACTCTCGGAATATCTGCACCCTGGTGGTAAATGGTATGGAAAAGGGCATGTTCCGAAGGATCTCTAAGCGAGGTGCCACGGCTTCAAGCTCCTTCCGCCGAGAGGTTTGTTGCTGCCGTCTTCTTAGTATTTCCATTCGACGGATGTTCTGCTCCCTACTGGTTCCCACAAGCCCAAGTGACGAGTGGAGAGCCTCTTCGATATCTTCACCTTCCGGCTCGCTCTCATCGTCTTCATCTTGAAGCTGGTGTCTTTTCTCCTCCTCTGCGACCACAGTAGGAATAAAACCGGTCATGTCAAACCGGTCAGTCATGAGCCAATGGCCATCGGGGAGGAATCTTCGTCTCGAGCTATGAAGCTCGTTAGCTTATGGCTGTTATTAACGTACTTAACGGAAAAGGGCAGGCTTACTCTCGCTCGTGTATCATTCGTAATAGCCCTGTTACCAACCCCTTAAAATAATGTAGAGGTATCCCAGTCGCACCACCAAGGTTTTTACTCTGAAGCTTTCGAGCAACTGTTTGATTCGGTTCATGGGGCCCAGACACGCTGAAGTATTCCCGCATTTCAAAGGCCTTTTCGGTGGTCTCGGCAGCACTCAATTCAGATGAATTCCAGTAAAGCGTAAATGCAAGATTTGTCAGGAAAACTGTCAACTCTTTGACGTCACCCAGAGCAAGAGAGCTCTCCTTAGTCCAGGAGGTATATTTGTTGTTATTGGCCTCAGAAAAGAATTCGTCGTCATCTAAAACCTTGAGAAGGAAGGTGTAAAGCTCCAGAAAGATGAGTATAACGGTCCACTGTTGCTCTTGATCGCTCCACTGTCGCTGGGAGTCTTCATCCTCCCTTATAGTAGGTGGTAGAAGCATCTCTAGGATACCATTGGGGTTATGTGATACATTATAATAAACCCTTGTTGCCCTTGAAGCTTGCCAAAAGAATTTAATGGCAGGTAGTTTGGATGCACTTGACTGTGAATTCGCATGATTTGATGCTGAGCCAAGATAAAGCCACATACGTATTTCATCCCCTCGTTTAGGAAATATTCTCAACAGAGTCAAGGCATATGTTGCAAGGCTTTTGGCATCGTCTTCGCTAGTCTGGTGGACATCATTTTCTGCTGCCTGTCCCTTTCCAGCTATCGATAAGAGGTGTGTAATGCTGTTCTGGTTAACCAACGTCAAAACCTCATTCTTTACAAATGGCGGTAATGGTTTCAGCTCTTGGGAGGATTGGGCATCTCCAAACTCATCCGGATCAAGCCTCTGTGAGATGTATGTTGCTGCAGAGCCTAGAAGCATGGAGACAACCTTGACAAATAGAACCTCTGGTGTCTGGTTCAAAGCCTGCTCCCCTAGCGCATGTCTGTGAAAGTAGATAAAATACGCCAGAAGCCAGGTTCGGGGCTCAACTTGCTCTGCATGGAGGAAGGACTGAGACGACAGAAGATTGGTACTTATGACCGATGCCAGAAGCTTATAGTTCACCTGAGCTGCTATATCACTGATGGTCCCGAGGTAATCCTGAAGATGTGGAAGTGTAAGGTATGTCCGGGCAAACCACTCGTATACAACCAGTGTTTCTGAGGTGATTGGCTGTAACAGAGCAAGAACGGCTTCCGCAATGTTGTCTCTAGTCAAGCCCACGGCAATTTGGCCTGAAGACGGCTTTAGACGTGTAGTGAGCTTTGCCATGACATCATAGTACTTGCGCGCCTGACGCGCCATCTGCTTCGGTATCAATCTCGTGAGAAACACCAGAAGCTGTAGTAGGTCATCTATTGAAAAGGATATCGAGCTAATACGACTGGAAGCTTTGAGGATATCCAGAGTTGTCACCATCAGACGAGAGAGCATGGTCGTCCATTCTCCCTCTGTTGATAGTGCCGTGCTCTCAACCGTTCGTTGAAAACATTTGGAAAAGTACACCAACCTCACAGCATCTTCCTGACTTGTAGTCTGGACAAACTGCAGGAGAAGCTGTAGCTGCTTAGCGCACTCCAGGCTGCTTGAATATGCACTGCCTTGCTGTTCGGCAGCTGTGTGGTATCCGACTCCCCTAGCTTTCTCATGGTTATCCCAATCTTTGCGCCATACACTCCAAGTTGTTTTTCTGCTCTTATAGCCCCGCCATGTCCTCTGAATAGTCCGGCTCGAGGTTAGACGCTCTCGTTCTAGCTGGCGCTGTGCTCTCTCCTGCTGTGCAATGGCGAGTGTTGCCTGGGCCCCATGGCCGGATGGGGGCTGACGCTTCACAGGAGTGCTGGAAAAGGGGTTTGTAGAGCGGGTTGAGAGGTTGACCTGCCGAGGCCGACGAGTATTGCCTGTAAACGAAGGAAACATAGCGAAGAGCGCTTGGTAGATGGCAGTCGAGTATGTTATTGTTCACCTGTTTACTCCGTTCAGGGAGGAAGCATCATGTGGTGGGACGCCAGCAGTGATGAGCTGCCCAAAGAAACTAGCGTAGCTAGACGACGAGCAAAGTCTCCGAGGTTGGTCGCAAATGTCTAGCGCACGTATCAGTCAAACCATGGTGACTCCGCACACTCTCTCCCTATCTTCCTTTTTGTCTCCTCGAAGGCCCGCGGAGTTGTGCCTGGAAGAGGTAGCTTCCATGGTGGATGTGGATGAATCGGCCTCGCTGATGTTCCGGTTGAAGCGTTCGGGGTCCCGCAAGCCGCCACACCAAGGGACATCTTTGATTATTAACCGCTAGAAGCTGCTTTCACATATAGTTATCTAGATGATTCCACATGGTAAAAGTGTTCAAAGTATTTTCTAGTAGACATGACAGAGTTATGTTATAGGGTTGTCATATCAGAATTCTGTCTATATAACCGCACCCACTGCTTTGATCATACAAGCAACAAAAACGCCATGAAAACAGGAAATCCATAAACTCCAAGTACAGTGCTCCGTCTCTATCCAGCAAGGAGTTATTTGCCGGAAGAAATATGTAGTGTACAATCCCCAGGTTTTGCGTAGTTGTGTCGGTCATCCGTGTTCTTAAGGATCAGAGCTTGGAATAGAGTACTCCTGCGCAAAATAGGGCCAGTCGATAATATGTTGAAAAATTATTGTTTCTCGTCCTTGGTCGTTTCTGTTTCGACGGATTGCTGTTCTGCATCTATTTCCTCCTGGCGCAATCTCAACTCGTCGACCTCTGGCTCGTTCTCTTCGCTCCATTCCTTTAAGAAATCCTTGCCAGTGTATGCTCGTGGATACGTTGCCTCTTTGTGGCCGTGGTCAATTGTTTTCGTGTATAATGTCCTCGTCGGTTCCATTCGTTTCGTTACAAAGGGTGAAAGCTAACTTGGGTTAGCCTCCGGCTATGTCAATAGATTAGAGAATATATACTGACCTTGAAATCTGCAAGACCCTCAGGTACAACATATGTGCGGACCTTCTCCCACTCTATAATGTATGTTCCCTTCTTGCGACCAAAACGTCCCATTGATCCCGTTCGGTTACCTTTGTAATAGCCAGGACCAACTTGCTTTGTGGTCAATCGCAGGCGAGCCTGCATGCACTGTGTAGGTCTGAACATGGCTGGTCGAGAGGGGCCCTTCAATGTGTACAAAGCACTAGAACTCCTGCCCGTCTGTCCTCGCTGGCTGTTGGTTATCAAGTTGTGCTATTAATTGTCGAAATGAAAGCATTTTTTTTCCTTTGCGCTGAAAGCTTAAACCAATAAGCGCGCGGCTTTTTCTACGCCTAACAAAAGTGCCGCGGGACCCACTTTTAAAAATATTGATAGAGAAAAAAGTGGTTTCTTGATAAGTTGAACGGCTTTTGTTGTAGTTGCAGCTGAAGCTCATTCTTCACCGAGCTATTCTCTCTGCAGCAATGTCGGGAAGAAAATCGAATATCCTCAAACCCCAGGAGAAGCGGTCGAAATCTGCAACGAAAAGACGGCCGAAGAATAATTTGAATGCGCTTGCTACGGCAGAGAAACAATTTCCCACGAAAACAAAAATCCGCAGACACCGACTTGGTGATGATGAGTTCAGCCAGCCTACCCGAAAGCGCGTTATAAATGATGATGAAGATGATGATGAAGATGAAGATGCCGGTCGATCAAAGCGTGTACGACGAGACCAAGATGAGTCAGATATTGATGGAGGCAGCGACAGTGAAGGCAATGAGTGGAGGATAGGAACTGTTGATAGCGACAATGATAGCGATATCGACAGTGATGAGGCTATGGGCGAGAGCGATGAGGATAAATTTGAAGGATTTACTTTCCGTGGCAGCTCTGCAATGCAGAAAAAAGGCAGTAGCATGAAAGCCGCTCAAGCTCAAAAGCGCAAAATTAACACCAACCAATTTGACGGAGACGATGGTGATTTACTAAACGAGGAATTCAATGGCGCATCTGATGAAGAGGCAGAGGAAGAAGACGATGACCTTGGAGAGGATGCGGTCGATCTCGCAACCGCGTGGGACATGAATGAGGAAGACTCTGAGGCCGAGGCATCAAGAAGGAAAGCGTCAAAAGAGAAAAGAAAGCAGGTTGATACTATGTCTGAAGATGAAGATGACGATGGCTCCCTGTCTGCTGTATCTGATGACGAGGAGGAAGATGACGATGATGGGGAATCTGATACCTCTGAGCTGTCGATATCTGATAATGAAGGAGACACAAAGCAAGGCCTCACCAAGCTTCGAAGATTTGTTACCTCATTGGGACAAGACTCTGGGTCGGCTACATCTACGAGGCCCAAGACAGCTCTCCCAGGAGGAGACCCTACTGAATTTGGGCTGGCCCCCAGCCGGAAGCTTACTGTAGCTGATTTGATGCCCAGCATATCAGATTCACGCATGAAGGGCGCATTGAAACATATTGAAAATGACCCTTCCACGAAAGGTACCACAGGCATTCCTGGAAAATTAGACGTCCCTCTCCCAAAACGGCAACAGGATAGGTTAGATCGCGCAGCTGCGTACGATAAAAGCAAAGAAACTCTTGCCAGGTGGATAGAGACTGTGAAGGCTAATAGACGGGCTGAACATCTTTCTTTCCCTCTCCCGGAGCCGGATGGCCTGCAACCGTCTAAGGTTGTGGACTCCAAGCCTAGAACCAACCTCGAAACTACAATTCAAAATATACTGGTGGAAAGTGGTTTGGCAGACTCAAACAATGGAGATGCAGAGGATAAAATACAAGAATTTGAAGAGCTTCAAGCAAAGAAGATTTCAGTCGAAGAGATTCAAGCTCGCAGGGCAGAACTACGGAAGCAACGAGACCTACTTTTCCGTGAAGAAATTCGAGCAAAACGAATTAAAAAGATCAAGAGCAAGGCTTACCGCCGTGTTCACCGGAAGGAGAGGGAGAAATTGGAACAGATGGAACATGAAGCACTGGCAGCCGCCGGGGTAGACATGGATGAAGAAAATCGGGAGCGCAATGACAGGATACGCGCGGAGGCGAGAATGGGTTCAAAGCACAAGGATAGCAAATGGGCCAAGAGCCTGAAGCAGACAGGCCGAACCGCGTGGGATGAAGACGCCAGAACGGAAATGGCTGATTTGGCAAGAAGGGAGGAAGAGCTGCAGAAGCGGATCCAAGGCAAACATATCGTCGATGAGGATGGCGAATATCTATCGTCAAGCTCTGAAGACGAGGACGACAGCGATTCGGATATGCCAGGATTCAAACTACGGGAGAAGGTGGACAAGCTTGAAAGGGATGGAACGGACCCCAAGGATTCAGGCCCATACTCAGGGCTTTTGTCCATGAAATTCATGCAGAATGCCGATGCAGCACGAAAGGAAGCGAATGAGCGCGAGCTTCGGGAAGTTAAACGTCAACTCAACGGCGAGGAATCTGGCTCGGAAGAGGAAGATTTGCAGGAGGAGGTTGGCCGCAGAAAGTTTGGCACACAGAGCACAAAGTCATCTAATAAGCCTTCCGTGAACCTATCACAAAAGGAAGACGAAGGAGGTCAAGTCAGGAATGAAGGGGCTGAAAACGCTTCCAGCTCAGACTCCGATATTGATATCCGTGCTACCCCCAAACCTAGGCAGCAATCCAAAGCGGCTCCGAAGAAGACCGCTCGCCATGGCTTCGAAGGGACCAAGCAGCAATCTCCAGAGGACGATGAAAACCCTTGGCTGGCGGAAACTTCCAAGAAGAACCGATCAAAGAAGAAAACAGTCGGTGCCGCGGCAGATGTCAGCCTAATTGAAAACTCCGGCTCAATTGTTGCCCAGGAGTCCAAGCAGCAACAACGCTCCAGGCAGGGATATCAGAATGGCTCAGAGAAAGCTGAAGTTGCCAATCGGCCTGTTGATGACGACGAGCGGTCCGACGATGAGGACAAGGCCACCATGCCCGTGCTTCTTCGCAACGAAGAGCTGATCAAACGAGCATTCGCCGGGGACGAAGTGCTGGAGACCTTCCGCAAGGAGAAAAAGAAAACCGTGGAAGAGGAGGACGACAAGGTGGTTGAAGATACACTGCCTGGATGGGGCAGCTGGGCCGGCGCTGGACTGAGCCGATCAGACAAGAAGCGGGTTAAACGCACGTTTACCACCGTCAAGGGGATCAGCGCAGACAAGCGGAAGGATGCAAAACTCGACCGGGTTATCATCAACGAGAAGCAGGTGAAAAAGGTAAGAAAAACTGTTGGCTGTTGGCCCCTTTCTCCCCCCATTTTTCCTTCTTCGCAAACATCAGTGCATTCTGACACGTTCTTCTTGCACCAGAACAACAAGTATCTCGCATCCCAGCTGCCGCATCCCTTCGAGTCCAAGCAGCAGTACGAAAGGGCTCTGCGACTGCCTATTGGCCCCGAGTGGACGACCAAGTCAACCTTCCAAACCGCAACCAAGCCTCGCGTGATGATTAAACAGGGGGTTATCAAGCCAATCCAGCGTCCTACATTGTAGATTACCACAGACCTTATCGTGTACTTACTCAGCCTTCCGGGAGCCAGCAAGAGATCTATCGCATCTCGCTGCCGCTCCCTGCCCGTTGTCCGGCGTGTGACGACCCATCCATCCATAGAGAAAAATGAATGTCGGCAATGTTCAACCACTCTGTTTTTTGTTTTGTTTTGTCCTGTTGTCCTGTTGTTGGCCATGGCCCTGCACCCTGCACCCTGCATTATGCAAGCAAGAAAGCAAGCAAGCAAGCAAGCGTCCGGCATCCAGCATCTAGATCCTCCGCGTGGGGGGGCCCCATCGTTACGGGAGCAATGGAGAAGCAGCAGAAACGAGAAGCGAGGCGCAAGATCTAAAACTACTTGTAACATCCACCCCCAGAGCTCACGGCAGCCGCAAGGTAAAGTAGTGCCGGAGACATGGAATGCTCGCAACGCCTGCCACCGGGCGTCATCTCAGTAGTATTCTCTTTGCTCTCGAGAACAAACATCCGCTGCCCTTCCTCGCATCCAACAGACGCTCGCCTGTGTAACCCTTCCAGCACCCGCAGCGTTGACGGCCGGCTTGGTGACTCCATCAGCTGATGGCTGCGGCTTCACAGATGCATCCCACAGATCTGCCATGAGGGAAACCACGCCATCACCATCACCACCACCATCATCATCACCACCGTCATCATTATGGTCCTCATGAAGAGGTTTGCCACACCCCTCGAGATCGAGCATCATCTTGTGGCCATGCCGATCGGTGTATTCCCTCTTTCTTTTTGCTTTAGTCGCACTAGCTAACTTACTGCTCCGTAGTTACCGTGGTGACGGAGGCTGTCTGCTCAGGGTCACCAGCCACCAGCTTCCAGGATTCCAAAGTCGACCAGCTTGGGGGCTGGGAATTCCATGGTGATATGTTCGGAAGCACTCGACCGACCCCCAGCCACAGAGCAGGTCAGAGCGGTTGCCATGCCGTATCCAGGGTCAAGCCGACGCTTAGCACGCACGATGCCTATTCTGGAGGATATCGGACGATGCTCAACCGGCTGTGATTCTGTCTACCAGACAATCGTTGCTTGTCGTTCGCTAATTAGCCTCTCCCGAGGTGGGGAGGATTATCAAACAACATGGACGCTAGCCAGCAGAAAACATGATTACAATTGCTAGTCACCTAGGGCAACCCACGCATCAGTCAACATATGCACCGAGTGAGATCGAGGGTCCATGCATGCATTGCCAGTAGATTCAGCCGCAGTACTCCGTCGAGTTACATGGTACCGTCATAGCAACCGCAGTGTTGCGGTGTCACAAGGATTGCGTCCAACCAATTTTAGCTCCCGCAGCGCAAGGGAGGCAGGCAGAAGCAAAGTGCAGCACAGGGAGAAGAACCAGAACCAGACGGAGGCCATTCTCTTATCTGGGAAGATCTAGCAGGCCATCAGTCCCCCTTGCGGCTTCCCAGTTTCCGTTGATCCGCCGCACACTTCGATCAGCACGAGAGAGAGAGAGAGAAGAAGAAGAAGAAGAAAAGTCAGTCGTGGACTCTCATGATATTACTATTATAGAGGCGTGTTTCCTGTAGGGCATCCTCTCCCACCGATCTTCTGCTTCTTCTCTATCCTTCTCATACCCTTTGATTCCAGTTCGTACATGGAGGTCACACTTTGATATCTGCCTTCGCCACGTTTTTTACCTCCTATACTAAAATAAGTCTTAACGAGTGGGAATAGGTAAGTAAAAAATTCGACTAGCTCACCCGAGCAGTCAGCGCATGTCATGTCTGCCCCATACTTTGCATATATCGAGCTCATCTGGACCGCTTTCCTCCGCCTCATGCGCCTACTTGCCGCTCCACTCCTTGATGGTTGTTTTTGTTCCTTATCACCAGAACCCTTGGCTTGCTGGCCCTATGTCATTCTTCCCTCTCTATGGTCTCGACACACCACTAATACCTACCTCCTTTCTTCCCATTCCTCCGCCTGACACTATTCTCTAATACCTAATACCCTTTCCCTCTATCCATCCGTTCCAATGAGGCTCCAGGAGAACTTCCTGCCACAATGTCTGCATTGCTCGTGTGCCTTGCCCTTCCCACATGCGGTCTACATATGCGCTTGTGGGGAGGTCATCTAGGAGCTTGTATATTCCCGTTCTTGACCAGATGAACGGATTACTCCATTTCTCCACCTGCAGCAGACTTGTTTATCAAGGCTTAGATGGAGTTCGCTCTTGGAACTTCTTCAAGATGCAACCATATATCAAGGAGCCGGACTACGCTATTTTGATCTATCCTTTCGTGCTTGTGGCTGCATCCAGCATCCCCTTTGATATTTAAACCCCCTTACTCGGTGTCCCAGGCACCGTTGCAACTTGTATTTTGCATTGCGAAAGTGTTCTTTTTATTTTTATTTTTCCTATCATTTCTACCTCAAGCCCCTTATTCCAACGCACGATGAAACCATACACTACACTGCCAGGAGTGGCAGTGCTAGTGTCTCTGTTAACTCAGAGCGCACATGCGGCCCCTTTCCCTTCCAGAGCTGATGTGGTTCATACCCGTGAACAGGAAAGTGCTGCAAGGCCACAGCCCATCGTATATAAGCACGAGCGAGGGGTGAGCAACGAGGTACGCTGTCACCAGAATTTTAAAGATCACTCAATCTTCCTTTTGTCTGAAACACTAAGATAATTTGACCGTCAGATTCAATACTTACCGCCTGATCCCCAAGGGCACCCTACTATCATCCCATTTCCTACTCATATCTCTTACGTGACCTTCAATTCACGGCCAGGTGCTATTCACCCTCCATATCCTCATCTAGATATTAGTGAAGCTAGCTTCAAGGCAGAAGATTCTACTTGCTGGTACCGCGGCAAGCCCTGTGAAGGAGTACCACATATCCCCATTGTGAAAGGATTTGACTCCATAGAGAAGAGGTCTCCAGCACCACAACGACATCCCCCAGCGCCTACCAAAGCGACAGCTGGGTATCAGTTCACCAACTGTACGAGTACCTCCAACCCTGGACCAACAGCAACATCTCCAACTTCAGGGATTCCAAGCCAACCTAGCGCACCTCCGGCAACAATGGCGGGCCAGGATATCTTCCAACCAATTGCGAAGGATCCTATTCCTGCCAACATCAAGTCAAGGGATGACCATCCCGTTAAGGCTAACCACATTGTAAGTTGCCTATATAATGTGAGTATTTGTGATTTTCTGTCATTAACTAACCACAACCTTTAAGGAAAATCCCACTGGTCCAATCTCAACCAACAAATTTTACGCAAATTTCTTCCTTGGTAACCAGACCTCGACTACTTTTACTCATCCATACACTATGATTTGGGCAAAAGGAGACAAGAACGCATCTAGCTTCGGCATGGCCATATCCCATGTTGAACCGTCTCAAAGGGCCACTGGGGAGCCTAACAATAAACTCCCGGGAAATCCCGTCAGGTATTACATCAACCCTGTTGGTATCAAGTCTCTCGTTCTCTCAGCGTCTGAGCTCAAGGAATCAACCACCATGTCTGTGGCCAAGCCTCAAGCTTTCTCTGCGCAGGCTATCCTTCGTCCAACGGGAGGATCCAGTGAAAGTATCACCTTCCCGTTGGTCCAGGGTATGGGTTTCATCACTGCTATCTACAATAACTTGCAGCCTGCAATTCAGTCAGCTGTCCTTTTCCGAAAAGTTGAGCCAGCTGGATCTCCCCAGGGTGGTATCTTCAAGTACAAGATTACTTTGGAAGACGATAAGAACTGGCTCCTTTACGTTATTCCCGAAAACGGCGCTGACCCCAAGTTGAAGCTTGAGGGCAACAAGCTCATCAGTGGACCTACTGGCTTCAAGGGTGTTATCCAGGTAGCTAAGAACCCCTCTGCTGAGGAAGGCGAGGGTATCTACGACAAATCCGCAGGATCTTATGCTACTGACATCAAAATTTCCGGCTCTGTCGGCACTGATGGAACAGGTACCTATAAGTTTTCTTTTGAAAAGGCAGGAAAGGGTGCTCCTCTTGTTATGTACGCTCTTCCACACCATGTCGAGTCTTTTGACGATGCGACCAAGAACACCAAGAAAAACATGAAGCTTAGCACTACCACCAAGGGTATGGCCACAGCCTGTGTTGGAGATTCATGGACGATGGTAGAGGGTAATCTTCCTCTGTCGATGGACTTTGCACCATGGAAGCCCGGCTCATCCTCACAAGTTACCCTTTCTGAGGGTGCAAAGAACGCTATCAAAGCTGTTGCCGGAAACGAATTGTCGCAAGACATGGAACTGCAAACAAACCTAAACAGCATGTACTTCAGCGGTAAGGGATTGAACAAGTTCGCCGGCGCCATCTACACTGTTCAGGAGCTTGTGGGAGACAAGGCTGCTGCTTCAGGCCCTCTAAACAGCTTGAAGGAGTCGTTTAAGCGCTTTGTTGACAATAAGCAGCAAATTCCCCTTGTCTATGATAACGTTTGGAAGGGTGTTGTCTCCTCTGGTACCTATGAGAAGGGTGATACAGGTCTTGACTTTGGAAACACGCTTTACAACGACCACCACTTCCACTACGGTTACTTCATTCTTACTGCTGCTATCCTTGGAAAACTGGATCCTGCTTGGCTGGATGCTAACAAGGCATACGTTAACATGCTCGTCCGAGACTCTGGAAATTCTGTCGACAATGATGAGCATTTCCCCTTCTCTCGTGCCTTCGACTGGTACCACGGCCACTCTTGGGCTAAGGGTCTCTTCGAGTCCTCCGACGGTAAAGACCAGGAATCCACTTCTGAAGATACCATGTACGCATACGCCATCAAGATGTGGGGAAAGACCAGCGGTGACAAGAGCATGGAGGCTCGAGGAAACTTGATGCTTGGAATCCTTGCCAGAACCTTGAACAACTACTTCTTAATGAAGAACGACAACGTCAACCAGCCTAAGAATTTTATTGGCAACAAGGTTACCGGAATCGTAAGTCGTCACTCTTATCCCAACAGAGTATTGAACTGTCCCTATTAACTCTAACTTCTTCTCTAGTTGTTTGAGAACAAGATTGATCACACCACTTACTTCGGTGCCAATCTCGAATACATTCAAGGGTAAGCCACCAGCCCATGGTCCTGTTAGAAGATATCATAAATACTGACCTTTATAATAGCATTCATATGCTTCCACTTCTGCCAAACTCTGCCTATACTCGAAGCGCAGAATTCGTTAAAGAAGAGTGGGAGGCGATGTTTGCTTCTGGTGCAGCCGCCCCTGCCGAAAAAGTCACTGGTGGTTGGAAGGGTGTCCTCTATGCCAACTTGGCCATCATCGACCCCGAAGCCTCCTGGAAATACTTTGCCCAGCCCAGCTTGGATCTCTCCTCGATTGATGGTGGTGCCAGCCGTATCTGGTACCTTGCATATGCTGCCGGTGAGTATTCTACCTACATTGCTTTATGATACAAGCTCTAACCATGTAATCTACTACAGGCCTCGGAGGCGGACCAAAGTGAACACCTCATTGGACCTACCTTTTTCGATCACTATTGTACAAGTAACAATTCTTGTTACCATGCAATTTCCGTATTAGAGTTACGAAGTTAGAGCTGCACTCCGGTTTCCGTGTACCTCTATATGCATATACCCATAGTATATTTTGGCTTTCTGCTTTATTTCTGAGGCAAGATGTATAACTACCTCAAGTTCCTTTCTTTCTTGCACACTTTGTTCTCATACTTTCGTTGAAAAGAACATATCACATGATGACAATATGACGGAAATGACATGATATAACTTTCACTTGAATATATGTTTTGATATTCGTAAACTACGCATTACCTTCGGCATTATAACCAGGAGGCCCACCGCCCACAAAATAGGATGTAATACTACACTGCTATAGAAGAAACTAAGTTTCGCTGCATAGCTCCGGGTGACTAGTGCATGTGAGCCGAGGAGAGAAAGGCAATCCCGTGAAGAGACGGCTTAATAGAAGCCAGTCTATCCATATCACCTGCTACTACTATAAAACGCAAGCCACGAAGTGCATTCCGCAGTTTAGAACGGATACGGCCATAAAATTGTGGGCCCTGCCATAGCCGCATATCTTCATTTCTAGTAGTTGTAGTTGGAACGAATCTGCATGCACTTTATAGTTTGGAGATTGTACACTTTCTAACATGCAAGCCTCAAACGGTGTGTGCCAGTATTGGTGAGAAAGGAAAAGTATTTACAAGTTGGGGGTCATGGCAAGCTCGCCCATAAATCCAACAACAACCTTAGCATGCTCCAGCATGTGGTTGAAGTCCAAGTTGGCAATAACATCATCAGCAGTGTGGAGGTATGGGTTGGTGTTACGGAAGTTAGTCTCAGCAATGAAGGATGATGGGAAGCCGTTTCGGTGGGCGGAAGCATGGTCAGAGCAGGCGTAGCCACATTTGGCTTCGATGATTTTAATAGTAGCATACTAACTAGAGTTAATATATGTGGATATCAAATGGGAAAAGTCGTAAGAGATAAACTTACTTTCTCAACAATGGTCTTGCAGAACTCGTTCAATTCAGCGTTGGTGTTGTCAGTAATAAGACCAAACTGCTCCGGGTTGCCCTTCTTGGTAAATCCAGTGAGATCCTGGTTAAGCATAGCCTTCACCTTCCTTCCGTCGGCCTTGTACTTCTTAAAGATGTTGTTGGAACCGAGCAAACCACCCTCCTCACCGGCATACCAGTGGAATTCCAAGGTATTGGTAGCGTTAGCAGCCTGAATAGCCTTGGACTTCAAGACATTGCGGAAGGCTTCGAGGACAACAACACTTCCACTTCCATTATCGTCGGCACCGGGAGCGCGTCCCTTCATAGGGTCCTTCAGGTTGATACTATCCTGGTGGGCTCCAACGATGACAGTATTCTTAGAGGCCCCGGGAATAGTAGCAATGACGCTAAATTGCTTGAACTTGTTGGTAAATTTCTCAACTTTGGCTCCCTTAACACCAGAGGCTTGGATAATCTTCTGGACTTCGTTAAAGACCCAGGTAGCGGATTCAACGCCTGTGGGTGACTCGTAGTAGCGGTTGTTGAATTTCACTAGGGTGTTAAGATCGCGCATAAGGTTCTCCTTAGACAGACCAGCGATCATAGGATTTACGACGGCCGCATGAAGAGCAGACTTTGGGTAGTTTGCAGGAACAACCTCAGCCGTAGTAAAGTCGGTGCCAAACTCATCTGTAATATCAACGAAGCCTTGCCCAGCCTTGTAAATGGAGTTAATATGCTAAATAAAATTTCATTTCATATATTAGTGTATGAAGGACATACTGCTCTCATCTCATGCTTCTGTTGCTTGGTAACCCATTGAGTCTCTCCAGGGCCAAGCTCAATCAGAAACTTGTCATTTACAACACCATCGGGGCGAATTGGGCCAGCAATTGCTGTAGCCGCAAAGGCAGAAACCACAGCAAGGGTAGCAATTTTCATTTTGACTGTACGAGCAAGGAGGTATGGCTATATTGAGAGAGGTTGGCTTGACAGTCTGCTCAAAAGAAAGAGAAAAAGAAGGAAAATGCTAGCGACTGCGGAAGGCAGGCAGTCTTATATATCGTCTCCATTCCAGGCAAGATTAAGGCCCAGCTGGAGACATCCTGCCCTCGGTGTAGGATGATGCATGGTACCCTTAGGACCCATCGTTATCATCCATGCAGAAGATCAATGTCCGCTAGTAGCCACGGGGAAGGGAAATGCTGGGTGGAAACACGAGGATTACTCGCCAGGGACTTAACCGGGGTAACAAACGGCAGATCACTAAGCTTATTTACTTAAATATAGCAAAATAGTCAAGTAAATAATACCTCATCGATCTATGGGACTGTTTCGTACGGAGTATGAAAGGCGATACTCCGGATTAAACAGGGCACCAATTCAAAAGGGCCACATATATGGATAACTGATTAGACTTGTACTGGGCATGGCAGGCGCCGGGACCGGAAGCACATCCGCCCTTGAAATTAAACCACAAGGGGCCGAAGCATTTTCAAAGTCTTCCGTTTGTTCGCTCATGATGCTGGAAAGGTTGGGGTTCCTGGCATGAAACAGCAGCGGAAAACTCGCGTTTCTCCATATCCGACCCTGGCCACGACTACCAGGTACCATGCCCAGCAGGCAGAATCCACCCCCACGGAAGGCCGAACTCCATCCCGAAGCGGGGTACACGGGGATGTCTCATCCAGCTCTAAGCAGTCTGTGTGACGAAGAGAAGCAAATATATGGCTAGCGAGCCTTCCGAATGGACACATATATATAGATCCATGATGCTCACCAGGTGCCACAGCTGAGAGCGTCCGCCGAGGTTTGACAAATGAAACGCCGAGGCTGATCGGCGCCTAGGGAAGCCGTCGTTAACCCCGGGCCAGCCCTGTGATGTTTGACAGCCACACCATCCTCGCTTTGGCATATTTGGATACTGAACCATCCAGCGGAGGCGGGAGAATGAGAAGGGGTTTATCGGGTAGGCGGGATGGGGGTAACGACAGAGTTCGACATCACTCTACCAAATACTGGGCAGCAGGACAAAATATCGGGTACAGCCAGCGCTTAACATCGTTTCCTTAGCTAACAGCGTCAGAATCAAAGCTTTCGAGGAGTATTCTAAGCAGAAGTATACTTACAGATCCTCCCTTCAGTGCCTGCAAAAGGACTGAGGTTAACTTAAATAGAGTGTTCTTCGGTGGAACTTCGGATAAGCTTCAAGATAGACTTCGGACTCAGGTAGTTAGCCAGTTAAAATGAAGCTTGGTAGTGCTTATATAAGCTCAGCCGCTGGCTGATATTTCAGCGTCGTTTTGAGTCCAGCAACTTCCATGACACGGATCGTCATTCGGCAGCTCGATCTTGCTGAGCATCTCCCGAAGATGACCGATCTCCTGTTTATCTCACCCACAGCCTAGAATTGTACCTTATCTATCCCAGCTCGTCAGCTAGATTTTCGACGATCCAGAACCATGCACGTGGTACCAGCTCCTCTTCAATCTCTATCTGTTGATTGCGTGTTATACTTAGATATCAACTATTTCCCGTAGCGGTTTGGTTGAACCTTTGAATGCACTTCTCGAGATGATTCTGAAAGGATGAGATAAGTTTTTACATATAGAATGATTCGGAATAGAGTACGAATTGTAACAAAGGATCAGCTCATCTGGAACTGTGATTTTGAGCTAGCATTGACGAGTTTGAAACCCCCCTTCAAGGCAGCTTTATGAGATGATAGAGATCTATCGCGATACTAGCATTTCTAGCTTATTGAGGCGATTTCATATCCAGGCAGAATATGAAGATACGGTAGGTGTTACCTGCCAGGGGCAAAGGATCTGGAAGTGACAATGGGTGGTGCCATTACGTAGAAGGAGCTATGGGGGATAGAACAGCCATACATAACGAGATCAAACGCCCTCGGGCTTCCATTTTCTCACGAGAATCAGCTACACAAACCGATATGCTAAGGCTATCATAGTATATTTTGAATTTGAGAAGCATCCTATGATACACGCCATCATCCGGGTTATTAGACGCCTACGCTGTGTCGCTTAACTTGCAGGAGAGCAAAGTGATAAACACCGCAGAACGACGAGTCGACAATAATGAGCGTCGATATACCACAGATCACCGCGCCGCCGCCGGCTTTCGAATCAGATATCCATAAGCATACCCATCCTTCAAGCCCCAAAAGGCGAGACCGACATCAATACAGTTCAAGCGAACATCACCATAGAAAGTCAGAAGACGGGCACAATACTGCCACGATGAATACCGTCGATATAGAGCCACCCATTTATGCCAGGATTTCCCCATCAGCCGAAAAAGAGAAGGTCGAACAAAGACCGAGAGGATGGGCGAGCCGGAGGTATCCATCCCGCGATCTGGAAAGTGGAACAAGTGGTAGTGAGACCATGGTATCCTCCGGAGCAAGGCATTATTCCGCCCGGTCAATGCCAGTATTTGACGACGAGTACTTCTATAACTACGGTAAACAGCCTCCAATGAGCCGCTGGCAGAAATCCGAGATGAAATACCGACGTTGGCTGGACACTATGACACAACGACGCAGAACAAAGCTGGTTTTCCAGGTCATGTTGGCAGGGATGATCGTGGGTATACTTTTGGGTCTGGCATTTGGCATTTCAGATGAATAGATCAGGCACTTTTGAGTGCCTCCAGGTGATCTCTATCTGTTGAAGAAGTTATGAATCCTTGTTACGAGGTTAGACAGTTTTTTTGGATTATTCAGACAGGAATGCAGGAGAGGGAGCCATGTCCTTTCACCGAGGAGTTTCAGCGATGGTTATTCTTATGTAGTCCTCAATGGGCATTCATACTTAACCACGACGCCGCGTCAGTAGCTATCAAATTAATGGATCGGGGATGTTTCTCGTTGTCGCGTTTCTGACGAGTTCGGGCAATCCCTGAATGATTAGGTAATAGAGCAGCTCCTCTCACGTGACAAGACTTGCTAGCGGACTTGGTATAAATATTTTGGCCCACCACGAAAATTCTTTCACTTTTTCTCTTCCTCTTCTTCTCTCCAGATCAAAAATGCTAACAGAACCAGCCACGACCGTCATTTACAAAATACAACCCCAAAGTGATGTGTTGCCATAGAATCTAGTTTACTAGTTTCTTACGGTTCTGGAGAATATTGTTCCTAGACAGGAAGTTCCACTCCCGTTGAGTCCTTTTAAATAAGGGCGATGGGAATGGAATGTCGAAGACGGGATACATTTCTTTAACCAGCTAGTTACCACATCATTATACGCGTATACCAGCTGTTTCTCAGGGTAGTGCAATTGTACTTTGTAAATAATCTGCAAGAGATGCTCCTGGCATAAAGTCATTGATATGCACCTTCGCAGTCCGGAACGAATTCAAATGTAAAAGCAATCATGCGTCAGGCTGGAATATCCCTCCATCGCTATGGCGAATCGATCACTTAGCACTGTATATTGACAGGAGATGAACATACTGAGCCTGTCCACGTTAGAATGCACGGACACCTCATACCATATCAATAATGCCCCCAGTACTAAAAACTCGCCTAAGTTGGGGCGTGGCCCCCAAACCTAGGCATGCAATGCACGGAATAATCCTGCAAATTTCCTATAATGGCCGATACCCAACCCAAAAAAGGATCCTTGGGTCCTCAAAAGTAGTTAGAGCGAGAATGCGGTTGGGGTCAATAATCAACTCTAGCCCTTGCGGCAGCAGATCACAACTATCTGGTCGATGCAGATACAATGGTTAAATTAGGCTAAGGCTTATAATGAACCAGGTATCTGTACATGGTAAACCATTTGCATGGGGTTCTGCCTAAATTGGAAATGTACCCGTTCAATATCTAGGCTTGACAAATAGATGCATGTGATATTGAGCCCTGTTGGACGGACAGAATGTACTCGGCCTTCATCTCATGAAGCTCTAGCCGAAAGAAGAAATCGCTGGCTAATCCTGGGCCACCAGGAATGGCTGCCTATGACAATTTCTGGCAAAAATATGCTTGACCGCCTTGCATATCGGATCCTTCGTGAAGTAAGCTGGCCCACGACAGCCGTAACGGTTAATACGGGTGGTGCAATTGATGTAGACTACTCGACGCATGTTGTAGTTATCCCATTCTCCCCTTTTAGCAAAGGGTGAGAGTACCCAGCCTGTTAACACCGATCAACAAACGTATATCATTATACATACGGCGCTGAGGTAGTTCAATCCTGCAAAATGTACTCGGCTAGACATGAAGTATGAGATCGGATCAACATATCATCACCATATGACAGTACAAAGAGACAAGCTTGGATAGTACGAAACTGATGTCGGTCTCATGTTCCAGCAGTTGGTGTTAGAAGTGGGTATCTATCCAACCGCACGAGATATAGTGAGTTAGTAGGAGGTCTGACGTGGACAAATGGGAGGCGAAGGGTGGCCGGTGATATCTTTGTGCCTACCAGGATGATGTTTACCCTTGTTAACCGCTTGAAATATTTGTTGTTGGAGCCTGAGCCGTGTTCAAGCCAAGTAGTTTCGTAAATGCCTTGACTGGAATAAGCTGAAGGTACCCGGACAGGAGAGCCAAAAGTATAAGCAGCGGTAACATGACAGGCATCCACTTTGCCCAAATATGGCATACATCTGAGCGCTCAATGCAGGACAACAGGTTTTCAAAGCAATATGTTGGCTTTGCCCCGGCAACAATAACAGTCTGCTCTCTGTTACTTCATATGAGACCTGATCGGGAAGCCTATGACTGATCTGTAAGATCTGGTCAATATTTTAAGGTGGAAAATAGCCTAGCACCCATTAAGGCTCACTGAACTGATCTAGCAGGTTGTGAAGTCAAAAAGCGAGGTACTTGCAACCGCACACCATAACTCGAAGTTATCACTCGGTAAACAAAAACAAAGCTCTGTGCGCGCGTTTCGTCAACCGGGATTTGGATTCTGGTCCCGTCAGACAGGGAATATATTGCTTCGACATATTGCGTGCTACCCAATGGGAGGTACCACAGTCCCCCGCCATCCGGGGTTTCTAGCATAGACACTTCAGGAGATACTTTGTGATCAAAATATCTCTTTGAATATTGCTATTGCGGCCAGTTTTACCGCTGAAGAATCGCACTATTAAGCGTAGAGGCCCATAAGCAATTAAACACAGGAGTTCAATGCATGCCCTGTTAGGTTTCGAGAATGGTCCGGTTTGATATAAACGAACAGGCCATACCACATGGCGGTAGCTTAAATATTGTGAAGAATTCCTAATCAGGAGAGGACGGGTGGCAAGCTGGCCAATCCGAGAGTAATGATTTGTCGCCGTGATGGAACTATTACCTGCACATACCCGCCGAAGAATGACATGCGTCTCACTGCACCTGAACCATGATAGAGAGCCAGGCGGTTACCGCCGTCAGAGGGATCGAAGTGGCTGGGGGGCGAGTCACCGTTGCTGCAGTGACGCTGGATTGCCGCTGGGGTGGAACTGCCCCCGTTGTCGCGCGCGAAGGCGTCAGGGTATCGAATACCAACCAGCAGCAATGCTGAAAGAAGACCTGCAACATACGCGCTCTCGACGGAGAGAGACTGGGGGATGATTGGATCATAGCCCTGGAGACCATAGTTGGCATTAACATTTTGATATCGCACACCTTCGGCGGGAACAGAAACACTTGACTCCTGGGCGCTTGTCTCTAGCAAGCGGCCTGGATAGGCACATAGGCATGAAGAAATTTTCTCTTTCTTCACAGACAAGGCGTGTAAATGCGAGTATACCTGTCCATCGAGTTTTCAGTCACGCTGAAAGATAAATAGGAGCCAGTAGACCGGAATGTTGGTTCTTTTCACCAACCCACGATTCCAGCTTCTTTCATCCTCAGCACAACCCAGCTGCCTATCCTCATAGCAAACTTCACCACAGCGCGCTCTCCTCATCCTCTCCCGCTATCACCTGTCTTAACCAAGACTCGACTAGACTTGAGTTTATTCTGTCATTAATTATAAAAGATCATCCACTTCAAGTCAGGTACGGAATAACATAGTGCCATCAGACATGGTGACCTTGGACTGACATAGCAGAGCAGGCCATCCTGTTGAACGGGGCGTCAACTTAACACTCTCCACTTCTCTGCACTGATCCCAGCCTGCTCAGCCCATCACACCGACTCATCACGCATCCCTCGCAAAGCCAACACCTGCATATCACCATCGCTGTCGCTCTCTGCAAAACGCTGCATCAACTTGCATCTTGCGCCCCTTTCTCAGGGTTGTGACTTGTGACGAACCAGCCAATCACAGCGTCCAACGCGCCCTGAGCCCTAACTTTGGCCCCAATTTGGGCTTGCATTTAAGGTTCACGACGCTGTGGCCCGCTCTGCCTTATTAGGCCTAGCTTAGTTTCTAATCCTGGAACCGCTCCTATTCCCCTTACGGCCAACCTGCCCCACCATTCGCCTTCTGATTCGTCAGATTTAGCCGCCCAACTTTGTGCTTCAGAGTTGCAGAATCAGAAGAAACATTGACCGGGGGGCATCGCCCTCTCCTCCCCCTTCCTGCTCTCCCATCACCTTGACATTTCCCATCGTGAAGTTACGCCGGCCGTCCTTCACCTGCATACGCACTTCCACTTCGATTTGTCGCAAACAACCATTGTACATTGTGGCATTGCTCCTCTCTGGAAGGCTATTGGATCTTATAGATCGAACCCCCCCCCTCCAGCACCGTCCAACGTCTCCTACGCCGCGCGATTACACTCACAAATTTGTAAGTGCCTTTCACAGAGAGGTACTGGCTACATACTCCATTTCTAGGAGGACTTACTTTCGGCCCCTGTCATATTTCTCGGCCATTCATCACTCTTGTTGAAGACCCCGTTAGTTCGACGGCGGCATATCCCATTCTTAAACTTCCCTTTCCCGCCCTTCAAAACAATAGTCCCTTCCCTTGCGCTCCCCTCTTTTTTTACTGCGCCTGTCTTCTTCCCTTATCCCTTCCAGCGGTCTTCTCATCAACCGTTCGCAGTCTCAAATATCCGCCTTTCGAGACTCTCTCGTCCATCATGGCGCCAACTGCAAAGCCTACTCTCGCACCTCTGAAGACATCCAAGTCACCCACCTTCCCTTCAGAATTGCACGATAGTCCACTTTTCTCTGGGAAAACCGAGTCCATCAAGCAGGAGGACTTTCTCAGAACCCCTATCACTCCACCTACGGCTTACACGGACTTCCTCAAAACTGTCACTCCAATCGTTGCTTCGCCATCTAGCTCAAAGGACAAGAGCTTCGATCGTCTAGCCGTCTCCATATCTCATCCCTCTACCGCAACTAGCCCCTACTTCTGCAACTGTTCGAATTCTTGCCGCAAGTCACCCACTGTGGCATCGATCACCTCTTCACCAGTTGCTCTACATCACCACTACCGCAGCAGTGACAGAGTTCGGAAAACTCCTACTTCTGCAAAACCGCTACGCATCTCCGCTCCATCTCCAAAGCTGACCTCTCCCAGCTTTGACTCTCCCCGCTGTTGCTCTGCCAGATCTCCACTACCTCCTCCAGACTGGATTACTGAGTCCACCACCCGACAGACTGAGACACCACGATGCTCATCTTGTTCGAGGCCTATCAGTGTTCGCCATGTCATTACCAGAACTATTACCTACAAGCGCACAGCTCTCGAGCCAGCCCCTAAGGGAAAGCGGCGAAAGGCCGACGAATAAATCAAGGGCCCATCTTGTTCCTCACCACCGTCTGCGACAAAAATACTCTGAATCAACTACGTACTCTTGGGCCTCAGACTCGAATATGGCTATGCGCTCATGATTGATGACCGTCACCGACTACAACAATAAACTATCTCTCTCGCTGGGACGCTTAATCTCCTGTTTCATTTCCTGTCATTAATTATCTACCTGGTGGTCTGTTATTGAGCATGGAGTCTCGTTTGTGATGTTTATTTCATCTATATATTTTCTTTATGCTTGGGGTTTGATATCCCTAAATACTAAGCTAGGCCCAATTGGAGTTTCTTTGATCTCGCTGGCCTTATCGGCTGTATGGGCCTTGACTGGTTCATCGAATTGTAATGCCGTATCCTCTTGTTTTTGAATGATACATACTCTGTACTTAGTCATTTACTAGAGAAATATGTCTTGAGTATGCATCTATCTTTCTCGTGGTTCATTTACCTTGTTCCATCCATCGATTACAACCTTTTCGAAGTGAATATTGTAACAAGGTTCAACCCGAGCACATGGAAGCAAAGAGTACTACTAAGCACTTGGGGAAATACTCCCTTGTTATTAATAATATCCTTACATGTTTGCATGTGCTTCGAGAATGATTAAGCATGTTACTATTCCTAGTATACGCGTGGTACCAAAGCTCATCAGAGTATTTGTGATGATAGCCCGGGCTTGCAAAGAGGTTCCTGTTTCAGTACTCAGTACCAACGAGGATAGGTGTCTATGCTAACCCTTTTATAGAATGCTGTCTATAAAACCTGGGACAACGCACACAGAGGCTAGCAATGTGATATCAATGCTTCATGCGTAGACCTTGTTTATCTGGCACCCAAAAATAATACCTCCCGAGTGTCCATTTCTCAGCCATGCATGATATTTTAATGAAAAAGCCATAATTTCATGCGGATGGTGTAATATGTTGTTGATGGGGTTGCAAGGAGCTGTCCTATCAGGGTGCATGGCCGGGATGACTTTCTAGGATATTGGGACAACAAATGCAGCGCTTAGACTTCGCCAACATAACAAAAGCCATGTATATTCACAAGACATGACATTTAGGGGGATAAATTGGCTGTTAAGCTCAGTGGCGTATTTTCTATGGTCTATAGCTTGCACTCTCAAATTGATTGCCAGATGCTCCTAATCCTAACATGAGGGCCAGGAACGGTGATTGAAATAACGATGATAACAAGAATAACCCAAATAAAAGGGGAAAGCACCAGCGTAACTGGTTAAGGAGGTACCATGATTCCGTTGGATTCGGGGATGTTATATACACGCACGTTCTGTCACGGCCTTGTTGGCGCCGTCTCCATCGGGATCAGGATCCTCGTCACCTTGATATATGCAGTCCTCTGCTGCGCGCGTTGCGATTTGTCCATCGTCGGTGTCAGAAGGCTTGGCGGCGCTAAGTGAGCCGCATCCAGAAGTTGTCTATTTATAGAACACGTAATTTAGAATTTCCCATAACCACGGCTGGGAGGGGAGGGAGCAGCCTAAAAATAACCGCAACAACATGATAGAGGACAAAAAAACTGAGCGGATGGGACAGAGGCAACAACATCTGTCCGCATAGTATTTGTTTTTTTGCTATCCGCTCCTTGAGCTAACTAGCTAACTGTCGTCCCTTAAAATTAAATATCAGGAGCTCCTGACTGGGCCATGGCTCGCGAGTTCACCCCGGACAGCGAGTTTGCTGCCCTGGAGACACCGCGCGTCCCCAATAAGCTTCAATCCCTCACTGCATTGGGGCGCTTCGAGTTCGAAGCTGGGAAGGGCAACGAAGGCACCAAGATCTTGATGGTGGAATGGGAGGATGACGACCTTTCTAGATCGAGTACAGGCTCATGGCAGGTTTCGTGGGATGGGAAGCAAACCGTCCTACCAGCCCATGACCAGGCAACCGATCAGATCCGCCGTTGCTACTTCATGCTGCCGCCGCATGCCACCATCCCACCAACAGTCACACTCACCTATGAGCCGCCACCGAGCTCGGCCTCAACAGTGAAGAAAAGCGAGTCCATCCAGATCCATCCATTGCCGGCCATTTACCCCCCAGAGCTTGGAGCTACCGCGCGAACGGCGGGGAAAAAAGGGGTGTTGCATACGATATGGGCTAAAAAACGCCTGCAGGTGTTGGAGAAGGAGATTAAAGAGGAGTCTCAGTATAACGCCGAGGGGATCGCATTGCATATGGCAATAGAGGAGAAAGAGTGGATAGAAGCCAACTTTGGGGTTGTTGTGAAGGGCTTGCCTCCGCTAGTGACGACAAATGTTTTATCTAATCTGAATGCGCCGCCGCTCAGTCCCACGACTCCTGTGTCGCCAACGGGCGGGAATCGACTGGCCGAGAAGCTAAAGGGACTGCGACTGGGGACCAGTGAAAAAGATCTAACCCGCAAACCCATGGGTAAGTGCATAAGATGCTTATCACCACCCCATTTCCACTCTCTCAATAAGCGCGAATCCAACGCCTATGTTTCAATAATTGGCTTGATATTCTAATGTAATGCAGGCAACTCGGGTTCTGATCCACAATTGCATCCTCTCTCCCCCGATGAGCCTGACATGGCAATATCCTCTTTCAGCTCATTCCACACTGGCAATACCCCCGTCAATGCGTCTACTCCGTCCCTGCAAACACTGCAACAGCCCCAGCCATCAAATATATCAAGCCAGCCACAGACCCACCCGATAGGCAGGCAACCGGTAGCCCATGCTCCTCCAGATTTCATTCGTCGACAACAAGAGCAGGATTCTGGGTTTGCCTCCTTGAATATGCAGCCTATTGGAGACAATGGTGTATTGAACGAGGTCAATACCGCCAGCGCTGCGGATGTTCAGGACGGGTTGTTTGCTAAGGCGCTTAGCCCTCGGTCCCCTGATATCCCCAAAAGCCCTTTCTCGTTCTCCACGGAGGAGACACTGCCCTACGCTAAGCAGCTGAACGCTTGAAAATCCTTACGGTGTAATGTGTCTTATATGCTCTTTCCATCTCACTTATCCATATTTGCTTGCACAATTTCCTGGCCATTCTGCCCATCTCCTTTGAATATATACACATATATACATACCTACCATTTGGAAGGCAAAACGATACTACAATTATGAGACAAGGAAGCTACGTTATTATTATTATCAAAGATCTCTGGCTCACGATAGTTTTTTGTGTTATTTATAAGACATCATGACGGTCTTTATAATATTTTCAGTAGTTCTACTTCATGCATTTCCTTATATAAACTTAGAAGACATCAAGAGAGAGGGGATTTAAGTCATTGTTTTTTCTTGTTAGCAGCAGAGCTGCTACTTTGCCTCGCAGCTTTGGGGGATGTGTCCTTGTCAGTCCTGTCTTTCTCTGCGCTTTCTTCCTCTTTCTTTCTGATAAGTTCTGCTTCTTGTTGGGATTTCCTATCAGCATACCATTGGCCTGCCTGGAGCACCAAAACACCAATCAAAACCAATGCTAAAATGGTGTTACTTGCTGCGAGGACTTTCATGCTATCCTCACGGCCAAGTACTTGCTGGACGCTACCAACGTCATCTTCACTCTCACCTGAAGCTGCTGCGGCTGCGGCGGCTGCGGCAGCATCCGCAGCAGCTGACGCTCCGTAGTCACCCTCTGTAACAATACGGAGTCCCTTGACTATGTTGGCAATGTAGACAGTAATACCGCACATGTAAAGAACCAAACTGGCGCCATCAAAGAGCATGTTGGATTCAGTTGGTTTGTAAAGCTTCATCATCAAACCGAGAAGTCCAACTGCAATGACAATATGGAGAATGCGTGGAATCAATGGCGGAGAGCTATGGAGGAAGCGCAAATGAGCCTCGAGATAGTCGTAGTGGGATGGTGGGGTTGGCGCGGTGGACCATAACAGCGGATAGTCGTAGGGGAAGAGGGAGAAGATTATCCCAAGGAAAAAACAGGTTGCTATATAGATAGACAAGAGTTAACGATTGATCAGCGCAATCCTTTCTTTGGATGGCCGGGCTGAGTTTATAGCCGAAACTTACGGCAGACGATAAGAAACGCGGCGAAGGAACCGCTGAGAGCCATCGTCGCGGAGAATGGTTCTCAATCAAAAATATGCCGATTGGTAAGAAGATACACACTACTGGCGAATAATCTTCGACGGTTGATTCAATCTGTCTAGTGAAGCCATCTCAAATTAGCTACTGTAGTCCTCATCTGCGCAAATGTCACCGATTAACTACTTCCATAGTGAATGAATGGGCGAACGCGATCGTATATCAAAAGAGCCACTTCTTACCACGGGAGAACGGGTTCAGCGCTTACCCTAGAGTCCGGATCGCAAATCGACGTGCCTTCAAGTGATAGAGAAGAAGAAAAAAGGAAAATCCTTCCGGAAAACACGAAGGCGATGTTGTTCTCTTCTTCTCCTTAGCCTTCTCTCTTAAAAAGGCTTGGAATCGGGCTGCTTTTACCCCAGGATTATGTAATTAACCAAAGAAAAAAATGCGACTTCCTATTGGCAGGGAAATGCGGATATCTGGCCAATGGCGGAGATACGGGTGAACAATTATCCGTCTTTCTTTTCAGTTCCGAAAAAGGTAATGCTGACCTCCCGCCTTCAACTCTCGAGACTTCGAGGGCGGGTGTATATAGTGATTCATGGGGGACTACAAATGCATTTGATGGGCATTAATGGTCCAATTTTGCTATACATGAAATGGAGATTGAATCTCAAGGTTAGACGGCGATTGTATGCCGCACTTGTACACGACGGAATTCATGAATTGCATCTTCAGTTTTCGGAGGCCATATTGGTTCCGGCCGGGGAGGGTATATGTCAAAAGGCTTGGAAGATGTGCTCCAGGCCGGCTTTTCCAGATCCACTACGCGTTCATACCACAGCTTACAATTGGGTCCCTGGCTGTGATGAGAATATGAAGTCAGACCCCATCAAATAGAGGGAAGAAGTCAAACGGGCGAATTGTTATTCTTACCATTGGATTTCATATCCTGTTGCGCTCTCTTTACTTTCCAGCTGGCAACCCGGACACCTCAACCCAGACGGAGGTGGCATCCAAAACACCATACTCATGGTCACGCTCCTACCAGGTAAAAAGACCGACTCCCATGGTGCTTTGAAATCAAGCTGGCGCTTTGAGTTGGACTCCTTCATAACATATTCCATATTCTTTACTTTCTTCCATCCGGGAACATGGCGGAATCGAGCTTCCAATACCGCTTGCAAAGCCTCGAAGGAGTTGATGAACTCGACGTGGAAAGGCGTCACTCTCCCATGCGCATCTTCCAGCTCCACGGGGCGTTGTCGTTCTATTTGTGGCGGCAAATCAGGCGCTTGATAGTCAACATGTGGCTGAACATGGGACTTTTGTAAATCAAGTGCCATCCTATACACCTTCATGTTCATGTCGAAGGCTTCCATCATGACAGATCGCACATCCCGTATATTTGGTTGTGTGTTTGAAACCTCCAAAATATTCAGTATTCTGCTGAGCGTGTCTGCTTGTGTCCCGAGCATGTTGTGAGTCTGGCCTATACGATCCTGCGTTTCCTTCATAAGCAAGGCTGACTGTTCCAATGTAGCCTGACTATAATCCTTGATAGTGCTTGTTTGTAGAGCCGCTGTGGATCTACAGTCTCACGTTAACATTGAAGAAGGAAATAGCACCAAATTGCACTGGATACACTCACGATTGCATCGCTATTAAGAGGGTATTTATGGTCGTCGTGTGACCAAGTATCTGGGTCCGCAGGCTATCGACCTCGGATTTCATAAATAATGCCCACTCAACTTTGTGAAAACGGGTCCTGAACTTAGAGGCTGTGTGTTCCTTTCCAAGTGATGCCTTGAATTTGGCATGCTGTAAAAGGAATGTTTCAATAGTTTGTTGACACTGGTCTGCAGCTTCTTGTAGAGCTAGCTTTTGGTATTTTTGAGATTCATCGAACTCCAGACAGCGTATCTCCTCTAACCCGCATAATAGGCCATTCAGATCTGCCACAAACCGCTGATATGTTGAACTTGCCCCCGTGCCATCACGGAACGCTAGATATACTGATTTAGCTACCTTGGTACAAGCAATAAAGTCACCGACTGAAAAGCCAAAGCCCGCCGCCATGGTGGACAAAAAACATCCTTGGCGCTCAAAGATATTCACAACATCATTGCAATGATAGGGAGCTCTGGACAACTTAAATAAGAGCTCTGACTTAAACCGTCAAACCCCGCTGTAGTAGCGGCCAGCCGACTCTCTTTGCTTGCGTTTCCCGATTGGCTGGGCTAACATCAGCTTCCTTGCACTTGCATGAAGGATCACAACATCACACCTGTGAGAGAGGGGCACAAGGAAAGGTTCAGCACAGCCTGAGGATCAGTTAGCCAAACCTTACTCTTTTACGGGGTTAACTAACTAATAATATGATCGATCAGCAATCTGATCTACCAGAGCTCAAGCTCCAACATATCACGAGCTGACTGATTCTCTCTGGAACTTCGTATATATGTGTGTATGCTTTTTGCTATCCAAGCAAGCACTTGAATATTGCCAGGCCCGTATCTCCCGAGTAAGCTCCATGCTTTTAGTTGACATGGGGAGCTACTTCAAAACCGGACCAGTTTTTTTTACGGTATCTGGTTCAGCTCTGCTCGGTTTGACAACATACAGTGGCCTAATAACTACCCCTGCAGACGCAAAGCCCCAGCCACAAAAGGAACGTTTCTAGGCCTGCAATTCTATGATAATCCTACCCCCTCCTCCCTTCCCGAGCGGAACGTATGAGTTGCAACTACATCTCCGATGCACGGTAGTGGTTATCCTCTCAATCTGCTATGGACCACTACTGATACACTATTTATAACTTTAGGAGACAGTGACCGTATTTCAAGCACAGAGAACTGGCAATATGGTACAAATCCAAGAGTTACAAATATAAACCCCAACCTTGGAGGCGTTATTCAGATAGTTAGTCGGTGGACGCGAACCACCTCTTACACTAGTAAATTACCTCTACTATATGTATATTCTACCCCCATTAACTATTGTGGCTCTATAGTCGAGTAACATCTAGGCTTAGGCGGGACCCGGGCTTAACCTTCGCCCTGATGCCCAATCAACCAAGCACATTAACTATATTTCGGCTGCCGACCGCGACCATATGGCAAAGGTATTTAGTTATATACATAACATTAACTTCTGCCTCCTTAACGTATTTATTGGACAACTAGATGCGTTAAAGGCACTAGGTATCCTAAACCTATTAGCAAGCACATTGTTTGACCATTTGGTGTCCTGGAAGTGGCGTAGCTGACTTACAATTGACTGCCATATCACAATGATCCATCCCATTTAGTCTTTGAATATCATTAAAACAATAGCTATATTTACTCAGCTACTATCATGCTATTCCCTAATCAACGGCTTTTGGTTAGAGGCATACAATATAGCAAAGTAAATAATTGATTATACAGGCACAGCTAACTTGGCCTTCAAAGAATTGGCAAGACTATCCACAAGGCACAATCTAGGATTCTTTCAACCCCAAGACAGTAGACGATACAGTTATGCCCCTTGAAAGCCCTTTCTTCGAGGCTGAATTGTTAACTCGGCAGCCATTTGAGCAACATCGGAGCTAGTTCTTGTATTCGTCCTCAAAAACGCTGCGATCGGTAAGACATTCTAGTTTAACTGTGTTCTAGGAGCACTAGCCTAGAGAGCATTGTATTTTTTCTCCGTATCTATGAACATGAGGTTCGGGTTCCGACATTGCTCAGTTCAAGTGGTAGGTTGCAGGGTGTTTACCATGCTCAAATGAGCTTTCTAGAGACACACCAACGTGTTTTACATTGTTTGGTCATCAACGATTTCACCAAATGACGCATCGGTGGTGTTTGTCGGTTTGAATAGTTGCGAGTGAACGGGGGATGAAAAATCTTCCACTGATGAGTATTCGAGTGGCCTTGGGCTCTCCATCCGCAAATTCCTAGCCAATTCCTCAAGTTTCGATATTTGGACCAAACGTTTTGATCAGAGTGAAGGGTAAAATGGGTGACTAAATTGGCCTATTAGCAGGGGGAAATCAAATATCCGTCAATATAACCAAGCAAAACTTACATATGTAGATACTGAGGTATTTGGGAAGAGAGTATTGGAGAAGGCTGTTGGCTTTGGGAACGGCTAGAAGAAGCCCAGAATATGGGCCATCGTACCATTAACATGGGAGGTTAGAGAACTGCTTTTGGATTCAAGGGAACAATTCGGTCGAGAACCTTTGTCCAATACAGTCCAATACTTGGTGCAAAGAACTTTTTATCTCCAGCCGAGAGAAGCTGTAGTAAGCTATCATTGATGTGGCACTCAGGGAAGGAAATATCTAGGAGGTGCAGGGAGGCCATGCAACATGGATGGCCACTGGACAGGCAGCATGAGAATTTAAACTGCAAAGCAAGGGGTCATATAGCTCTTGACTGGTATGCTGCCATAATTTGGCAATGCCATCGTTTTTCAAAGAATTAGGGTATCGATAATGTTTTCAAGGACGCAATATCAGAAACTTCACTGAAAAGAATTGATACAGGCGCCTTCATTCCTCGTGCAAAGCCACAAAGCATACAGAGGCCCGTTTTAATTGCATTTCTTGGGCTGGTCATTACAGCGCGCGAGAATCCGTGTTGAAGCGGGTCTAAACCACCAGAGGCGAGAAAGAGATGCTGCTCTCGTAGAGATCTCTTTATCTGCAGGCTGCAGTTTCTATTAACTCATCAATGGCCCTGTATTGGGACAATAGAGCCAAACAACAGGGTCGTATATGGCTTGAATACTGCGCTGATACGTGGCGGTTTAAACAAGAGGACCAAAGTAGTCAACTTCAGCATCTCCCTTCTAATCGCCGGAAGGTTCCTTTCCTTCTCTGGAAATCTTGATGGAATCGAATCATGCATTGTGGATTCGGTTCTGTTGCATTTATTGAAGTTTCTGTACTTTATGCGACGGCCAGCCCAGTAAGAAGGGTCACTAAACGCATGATATAAAGCAGGTACCAGAGGAAATCTGCGTCGAGATTAAAGCTGGAGAGAGTATAAGACCACGCTGGAGGATAGATACCCAACATAAGTATGTGGAGGCTGAATGTCCATTTAATATCCGTCTCAACCATACCATGATGTACCTCTGACGGTCGTTGTAACGAGGGTGCATTAAGAAACATCTCCCATGATCTTTTTACGACGCATCTTGGCCTCATTTCAAGAGCAACCAAGTCCGTGATATCAGAACCAGCTCGGCCGTGCCATTTTCAAGGATTCCGCATTCGTGGCAAAACCAGGCCCAAGATCGTGCCAAATCGTTAATCTCGGATCTAAATAAGCTGGCAGTGGACATATCGGTAGAAACGACGAGGAAAGCGACAGCTTGACTGGAATGCTGTAGCAAGCCCAGCCGGAAAAGGGGCCTTTTGCAACTATTACTGGTCCTGGGTGGTATCGAACTGCGTAGAGGCGGCACCAGCTAAAGCAAAACCGTAGCGTACAAGGTATATACCGGAGGAGAGACCGTGGCGGATAGACGTAGAGTAATCCCTTTGATTGTTCTGTGTATCAGCATGATTCCTGAAAACTGTTTCTCTTGCAGCACTCTGGAGCCGCCTGTCTTGCCATCAGCAGCAGGCTTAAGCCATCGCTAGGGGATGAGACGCTGTGCCAGGATTGCTCGCCATCCTGCATGCCAAAACGCATGAAACACATGATGCTTTCTTGGTAATGGAGATGCATTGCATGACACATATTCTTATCCATTAGTCAATCCTTGATTGCAGCAAGCGGATTTGGCCGTTGGCTAGGGTCCATTCAAGGATCAGCTGCGATCTCAACTCGATGAAAAGGAGCCCGGGCGTCAGCAAGATCGCCCCTTTTCACATGGAATGGAATGGAATATCCAGCGCCCTTCCCTGTAGCATGTCTGAGATGCTAGATTTTATCGATCATGCAAGTTCTTTAGATGCTGGTAGAGAGTTATATTATTTGGATTGATAAAATAACCGGAGAGCAAAAATGACACCGTTTGTGGATCCCCCCTAGGTGGTGGTGGATAAGGATGCATGGTATATAATATAATACTATAAGCTATTGTTGGGCTAGTCAGTGAGTTAACAGGAGCTGCCGTCAGGATATTCGTGGTATTATAGATGGATGAAATGCACCGGTCGATGCCTCAAAAAAAATTTTTAAACGTGAGCCCGCTATTAAAAAGGAAGTATGGCTAGAAGAATGGAATGGTAGAAACGACAAAGTGTGAAGGAAAGGAAATGAATTCCGTGTATAAAAAACAAAGGAGAACTCCGTATGTTGAACGCCGTCCAGTCCTGGTCATTGCATAGCCACATTCTCCGTCTATCGTTGGTATCTGGGAAGGGACTCCCCTGTCGCTATTGGTTGTCCGATGATGTCGTCTTCTGTAAGGACAGGGGCAGAGGGTAGGGGTTGATGGCGGATATCGCCGTTTTCAGAGGCCGGAGTGGTGGCCTGGCTGGGCCCACCGGTGGCTGACTCTGGTGCATCCGAGTCCGGCGGAGCGCTTCTCTCGTTGAGGAGTCGTTGCTTTTCTAGCTCTTGCTTGTCGTCTGAAGGGAGGGAAGTTGAGTGGGGCTGGTGGTAGTTGGGACGGGACGAGCTTTCAGCAGCGCTCTCAGACAGAAGATACGCGCCCGGATGTTGAAGGGCGGGAGATGATTCGTGGGCAGAGTAAGGGGTGATTGTATCGGGTGAAGGGGCGGAAGGAGGGTGAGGGTGCATATAAACAGAGGCAGAGTAGGTAGGAGTAGGGGTCTCGAAATACGAGAGGTCGCGGTGCTCTGAGAGGGCCGGTGCTGAAGCCAGAGCAAGTGTAGAGTTCGACGGGCCAGCTTCATCAGATGCTGGTGGCGCACTGGGTAGGAGCATTGCCTCCGCTCGGCGTAGCCGCGTTTTCTCATCAATGTCCTCTTCCGGTTGAGCCAGCGGAGGGTCTATAACGTACTGGTCCGGAGGCCGGGCATGCCATGGCTCTCGGTCTTCAGATCCAGCGTTATAACCATTATCCAAACTCCGGTTGCCTTGAGACCTGTCTGCAGAGTGAGTCTGTGGTGC